AAAAAAAAAAAAAAAAAAAAAAGAGAAATTGAGGAGGGGTAAAAATAAACGATTTTTTCGTTTAAACATGATATTTTATTGATGGTCCAAATGAGCGCAAAAATAAAATATAAAGATAAACGTCCGTCTGGACCCGTTCAACCCGTTTGAAAGTGAATATTAACGAAAAAACCCCCTTATGGGTACAAGGGTAAAAAACGTAAAACGAAAATTAATGAGTAGGGCTATCGATGAAAAGTTAAATGAGTTGCTTTAACCATACAAGAAGTTTTTGACCATGTGGATGCTTAGTAGAGATCAACTTGTTATGATGTAGCTGATCTAATTCATGTAGTAGGGAGCATACAATCGGCCATCGTTGAGACCAGGTGAGGGCTAGGTTTGGGGGAACCGAAGGGCGTAAAGGAAGCATATTCAGAAGGAATGGCAATGGATCTCGTATAGCTTCAGGCATGAACAGACGTCGATGCATATCAAGGCAATTAATAGCGTGATTCTTAGATAGCTGTTACGTTGGGTGCTTAGAACATGATCGAGGTTTGCCACCAGGAAGCCACCCTAATCTCCAGCGTATACAGCGACTGCGTTCTGACTTGGACATGGGCTACCAGAGTATAGGATCCAGAGAGGTTGATCGATGGTAGCTAGAAAGCAATTTGGAGTTTCGGCATCGATGGCGGGTCTCTAAATTCTGTTGCAAAAACCGCCGTTTAGCAGCCTGGAGTGAGCGAGTACCGAGTTCTTCAGTAGTAGACAGTATCGTTTTCCAAAGCGATGTACGAGAGAGAGCGTACTACTGGCTTCCTCCGGTATTACGGATATAAGATAACGGACAAGCAAGCAGTGCATTTTCTGGCAAATATAAGGAACGAAAGAGGAGCTGTGCCTGGCCATTTATTTTTGACTTTCCGCCACTTATTTTTGAGAAAACGTCAAATTCCGTAGGTTTTGACTGCATATAAATAAAAAAAGATATGTCGATCACGCATACTCGCCACTCTGTCAAACAATACAACCAATGCGGAATTCAAACAAAAGGATTAATTGATGTAAGTTAATTTATGCAATACACTGTACAGAAATAAAGAAAATAACTGAAAGGGAATCTATGAATAGTAAAAAAAAATAAAGAGCTGAATTACCGCGGTTCACGGCTTGAATTGTATCACATTGGTGGCGCATTTAAAAGGTAGAACGTCTTTGAAGGTATAGTGGATGTTAGTCTCAAGGAATGCTTTAGAAAAACAGCTTTGGTAGAAAGACTTCTAATAAAGAAGAAAGCCACAGGCCATTTTAAAAAAGGACATTTGTCCCTTTTAAAGAAACTGATAATCTAAAAATAATTATCCAACAACACGAGGATAGTCAAACGCTTTTTTACTAGAAATATTAATATCACAATCGGACGTTTAGAATAACTGGTACTTGTACGCTTAGCACCAAGATTTGATATGCTCTTAACCCAAATCAGGATGAAACACATGATCATAAAGTGGTTAATATCATAGGCACAGCTGTAATAAACTATATCAAACGAGGCAGGAAAATGTTACATAAAAACCTGGGTTCGTATAGTTCATTGTTGGATCTGAAAATTGTACCGCCAAAATGAGCACACAAACCACAGCTAATAACAATAAAAGAGTAAAACTGGTGCCAAAGGTTTACACATGTACTTGTGCTGACTTATCAAGAACGATAAAATTAACTTTAGAGTTAACATGGTGAGATTGCATTTCAAAATGAGATCCTAAGATGAGTAAGTTCAGGCACAGCAGTGAAGTCGGAAACTGAACGAATGCGTAGTGAAGCAAAAAATTCGAAAAATACCACATATCTCTTCCGCGCTTAATATCACTTATAAAAGGTTGAAGAAACTACAGTGCTTTGGGATATTTATTAGGTTAAGCAGAATACAGTATACTAAGGACATTACAAGATTGAGCTTTTTATTGTAAAGACGGCCAAGAGGAGCAGCAACATTGGTCGTTCTGAATGTAACCTTTGCCATAGCAAAACACCATTGACTTTGGGATATTTTCCTTTTCTTACTTGAAGCAATCATTGACCACTAGCAGATAAAGAGCGACCATTGTTCCAAAGAAGTGATGATAAAGTAGCAACGCTTGAGTGAGCTATTAAGAGCAGTTTTTTTTTTCGTTTAAATTCATTATAAGAAAAAAAGGGGGCTGCCCTATTAAAATAGCAAACCATATTCATAGAACAGAAATTGGCGGCCAAGCAGTTATCAATAGTAGGTTAAGATCATAACTCATCACAAGCCAGGGGATGAGACGCCTCAGAATACGGCCTGCCCTTTTGATAGCCAACGAGAGATCTAGGTTGGTCCTTTTTCTGCTAGAGCCACCGAAAAACAGGTCTTACTTAGGAACGTCTCCAGAGAAGCCATTTCTAAGAAGCAGTATGGTAAACCAATCCAAAGAGCCAGTCCGTACTATTAGTGCCTCATGGTTATCGAAAGGGTCCAGATTAGTCGAAAAGGATTTAGAAGGGTTCAAAAAAGAGAAAGAAAAAGAGAGAATACTGGTTTTGTTGATGTGCTGTTGTTGTTGTTGTTTTTTGCTGTTTTGGTGTTGTTGCTGCTGTTGATTGTGAGAGTGTGAAAAAAAAGGGGAAATATCCCTTGAAACGGTAACGAGACCATAACAGAGGGGATGAAATTTCTGGAACCAGATAGAAAGTACTCCCTCAAGGAAGAACGAAAAAAGCTCAAGATCCTACCGACCCATAAAATATTTCTATTTGATACCAAGTAATAAACAGAAAGCAGAGTAAATAAGGGTTGAGTTTTTAGGGAAGGGGCGAAAGTTCCTTAAGGAACTGAAATTGAATCAAACAAAAGCACAGAGTAATGAAGATCCGGCCATGCTTATGAAATATGACCATCACTCCACAATGCACTTTTGTAAGTTCAGAAAGAGAAAAGGTAAAAGGCAAAGAAAAAATTAAAAGTAAAGAGAAGAGAGAGAGAGAGAGAGAGAAAGGGGATTGTTTTGGTTTTTATTCATATTTGACGATGTTATGCTGCATATTTCGGGCATTAAATTTGTACGGGATCAGGTACTCTTTTTAATACACTCATACTATTGTAGTTGCGGGTTTGAATACCTCTTTTCACAATCAAAAACATTAGGATAATTACATCTATTCCTTGCCAAAAATAGTTAAAGTAGCCACAGCAAAGATGTCTCAAAAACTGATACTGACAAGGCATATAATGAGATTTCAAATTTTGCCGGATACTATAAATTGCTGGTTGTAGATGGGTGTTTTCATAAGAATGGCTCAATGGTACCTTTTTTGGGATCATCCGTTGACAAGTTCAAATTAGTTGAAGAGGAAACGAAAATAATTAATGCTCCTACAATTGCCCCGAACTGTATTATTATGACAAGGTCACTGAACCAATACATGAAACGCCATTCACATCAGTTGTGGAGCATTCACTGTGCTAGTTCCTATTTCAAAGGCTTTTACTAAATATCAGCTATCGAATATATGAATAATGCTTGTCAAAAGTTTTCTAGAAAGATGGATAATCACCATTTCTTTTTCAGCGTTCTTCATCTAATAACTTCACCAAAGGCGATAAAAGACGAACATATGGAAGGTCCTTGGTTAGTTTTTATCCGTTTGCCTTTTTACCAAAAAATGATAGAGGGTGCAACAGCGACAACAAACCTCATTGAAATGCCCGCTACTTTGAACGCAAACAACAATAATAGTCTATTAATCCCCATAATCCACGTTCTTGGTATGATACGATCTAGAGTGTCTTGTTTTTTTTTCTCTCCCTGTGCAATGAAACAAAAGCAAGAAAAATTGCATTTCAACTAAAGAAAAGTATGAACATGACTATCCACGACCAACATGCCGCAATTATAAAAAAAAAAGACCTATAGTGTTTATTTGCAGTTCTATTCAACGTTTTATCTTGGCAAACATTTATTAAGTTTTTTATTTCATCACTTCTTCAAGGAGGTATTTTTTACAAGTTCCTTATACAATTATATCCATCCATTTACTCCTATTTACATATCCTTTGCTTATAAACGTTCTAGTTTTTTAATATAACGCAGTTCATTGCGTGTATAAAAGAAATACAGTTTACACAAAAAGGGGTACTTTTTTACTACATTTTAGAGATGGTCAACGCTCTGCATTTGCCTTCACACATCCTGGAAATCATCTTTCATTTCCTAAGACAAAAAATATTTACTTCGATGTCGACTTGTTTGCTCAAATTGGCATTCTATAGTCACAAGACGCCTGTTCAGTTACGTTGATATTACACACAATCTAACAAAGTTCTTGAAGCTTAGAGTGATGGACAAGTCTACTATACTAACACTTGGAGAGTGCATCAAGGAAATGGATCTTAGAGTGAGACGGGGTATGTCGTTTGAAGAATTTGAACAACTAGTCACTTATTGTCCTAATGTTGAATCGATCCATGTTAGTACTTGGCTATATCGAAACTGCATATCAACGTACTTACTTGAAATTGATGATGATATCAAATGGAGCCTTCGTCACATCATTGCTAATGATCCCAATAATCCTTATCTTGAATTATACTTGAAGTATAAAGATTCTATAGTCTCCATGAATGCTCCATCAGACGTAAAAGACTTGCAATTCTTGGCGTCGTTTCCATTACTCCAAACCTTTAGACTTCCTCGATATCGGATCATCAAATCTATGCAGGAATTTATGTTCATATTTGATACATGTCCCAAGTTAACCTATGTGCGTATACAAGCTATTACAGAAGACGCTTCCTGTCTGATAACAAATCAAGGTATCTATCCTTCCTTAACCGCCTTAAAAACGAAGATCACGTTCTCGAGTATGACAAGATCGATGACCGACTATATTTCAACTCGATTTATAAACCTTTCATCGGTTACTCTTGATATAAACCAAACGGACTCTCCATCGTTTGAAGAAAACTACATTCGCCTAGTGAATGCTCTTATGACACCATATAAGCGTCGGCTTTCTTTTACATTGGCTCTAACAGACTGTCATAGGCCAGACGATGAGAACGCTCAAATAAAGTTCACTCGTATGCTTGCTAAGTGCGCGATTGAAGCATTCAAACTAAAGCCAAGAGCGTTTAACTTAATTGAAGTCACTAAAGTAGAGCGTGAACCAGGTATACGTATTTGTGTGGACAAAGAGTTACACTGTATGCTTTTTACTTGGGCACCATTTTCTTGTTTGATCAAGCAAGATGCTCTGTCTGGAGGAGCCATCTCTCGTCATCTCCATAAACTGAAAATAGAGAGCTCACGGTTTACCATGGATCTGTCCAGGGATGATTGTCTGTCTATCGGAGCGTGCATCCAGATTCAGGAGTTAGCTTTTCGTCGCGTTGTGTTTCGGTCTGCTCAAAACTGGCATCACAATTCGCTCCAGACCCTATCGCGTTCCGTTGTTTTCGTTGACAGCAGCTTTTTTCCAACATTAGGACGCGTTTTCCCTAAACTAAAAATACTCAAATTAGGTATGGGTTCTATTAAGGCCGATGGTAATGAGGGAGTTATTGACATGCAAGGTCTGAAGTTGCAAAGACTCAACTTGGCTATACGACCTAGAGGTTACTCAGGAACAATATGGTTGGTAGTCGTGAAGACTCATAAAGAATATGTATACATCAAAATACACAAATGCAGGAAGTTTAAAGTGCTCACTTATGAAAAAGCTATGGAACAAGAAAGACGTACACAATTTAATGAGCGTTACCATATCTATTGTTATGATATTAAAGAGCTCGCTCTCCATGATAAGAAAATAACACTTCATCCTAACAGTACTAGCTCCGATGCTGCGTAAATGATGCTTTTAATGATGAAAGCCACACCACCCACGTCCATACCACCTTTCCCGTAACTATTAAAAGCTTATTTCTATTAATAAAGCACATCATTTCTTGTAAAAGACTTGGGAGATTCTTGGCGTACTCCCTTGCGCATTACTAAATCTCTGATCTTCAAAAATAGTGAAGTTACTTTCATTAAGTAGTGCGCGTCGCCGCGTCACAAACAGTATAGATCACCATGTCAGCAAGCTTTTGCGGGTGATAGCTTCTGATAACATGTAAGACTCTTACTTCTTTGGTAAACACTGTTTTTCTAACAATGTTGATGATGTTCTTCTACCAGCTGTTAACACTTCCCCTAGCTTGTTTTTCAGCTTCGCTGACTGTTTCAAGTTCCGTTTTCTTTATGACAAACCTTTCAAATATGTCAATACAAAGATATTTACGAAAAATTGCATAGCAGCATACACTCCCAGAGTTACCCAACCTCGTATTCTCTGCATCGCCTGGATGAACTTTTGGTCATCATCTCTTACCTGTATTCAACGCAACATTATTTGTTGATTGATACACAGAAAAATTCCTCATAAGGCTTGCTTATATCGTTTACTCTCCAGGCCCGAGATCTCTCCTTACTTCACCCTCTCTGATGTGTCGATAGACTCTATCGATCACTTTTTTTGTTCCTGCTCCTCTTAAGTGCCTTGTCTGGAAAGAGCCATTCAAGAATCCCTGTAGCCGACACTAGAAATCACTGATATTCAACTTGTCCTTCGTTCACTGGATTTTTCAAAGGTGCCTTACTTCCTGAATCCTCAGCTAGAAGAAGGTATAGCTCTTACTATCTCTTTAAGTTCCATACGGTAGCTACGCTGGCAATACGTTTTCAATCAGCAGGAGTTTGTTCCTTAAATAGTCCTGAAGATGACTCGACAAGAAGTGTTCAGTTATCTCACTTAGAAAGATGATCTATATTAACCTTTTGTTTTTTCTTTTCTTTTCTTGTTTTGTATGAAATGCTATCCTTTTTAATTTTATCTTCTTTTACCCATACACCTGCAACCGCCTCTGAGTTAGTATAGCCCATTAATTTACATGGCGCACAACACATTTACACACCATTTTTGTATGTGTGCGTGTGAATCAACAAGAGATCTTGGTTTCATGGGCACTTTGATCCCCCTGCAATGGCTCTTTTTTTTGCTACTACTTAATCTGGTAAATGAAGAGTATCACATTATTCCCAATAGCTTAAATAGGTTTTTGCCTATCATGTCTCCCTTGATACAGCTCTCCCTGAATTATTGGGCAAACATTTGACAGGATGCTGTGAGATTGTATCAGCTGTTTGGTTACACCGTCTGAATCAGGAGAAGCTTGATTTTAAAATGAAAAAAGAGGTAGAATAAGAGTACGGCACAGCTACTTTGAATCCTTTTGCTCAACTCTAGCTTGAACAGTTTTTTATCAAGTCATATTCTTTATAAGAGAAAAATTCTCCTTTCTTAGATTGTGATGGGAATATGCAAGCGCTGACTGCCGTTCATGTTACACCCTTTTAATTGATTCTCCGAGACGCAGCACTATGTTTGAAAGAACCTGTTGCTTATAAATGCAAGCTTACTATTATACTTCAAAATAATAGTGCATATTTACAACGATAGGGGTAAGTATATGTTTGAATACTTGGTGACTTTGTGACAAAATGAATGGATGATCATTTCTGGATTCGAATCATTTGCGCTGTAAGACATGTTTGTACTCCAACACTCTGCTTCTGAAATCGGATTATACCATGTACACGATAGCCTATACAGAGCTATTGATTATAAAATGAATAGCTAAAGTAGCAAACAGTATCAGGTTCATATGCACGTATACGGAAGAACTCAAATAGGTTAAAAAGCAATTAGTAAATGATTCCGACTTCCCATGTTTACTTTAAATTCAGACACAGAGACCTTCTTAGGTTTATATAAAAACAATGTCGAATAGAACCGCAGCAAAGCAAGAATCTAGGTATGAAAACGGTGGCTGTGGGTTAAAGTGTTGAAAAGCCAAAATATCTGTCCTGAAATGATCCTGAGTATCTTATCAGAGCAGCTTGAATTCTGGTTCATCCAGCAATCTAAACACCGATCTGACAGTCGTCCGTTCGTTATCTGTTCACCATCCGTCTACTGTGTTTGAAGTCAATAATTTGCGAGATGTTCCTTTACTAGCATCTAGTTTTGCATTCCTTTCATTCATTATGTGAAATTTTAAAACTGGAGACAGCGTTTAGAAAAACAAGACAACATAACGAGAAGCACTCAAAATAAAAAAAATATCATAAATGAAAAATAGCTTGTACAACTTTAGCTAACTTTATTCTTATCACCTACAGATACAAGGTGCTGACTTCTACCATACTAGATCAAGGTAAAAACATCTGGCAAACCAATGTTGCTGCTGAGCTCTGCTATTTCTTGCGTTTCAACTGCAAGTACGCTGAAGAGATTTACTCTCAACAATAGCTTTTGACACGCGTATTATGTGCTGAAAGCCGTTGCTGGTATTTTTTTACCAATGTCATTTCTATTGTACTGTGATTTTATTTTGAGCATACTATAGGAAATAATTCATATTGTACGTCTCGTGAGATACACTTATGTGTCCAACGTACTAGCTCACAATATGTAATTTATGCCGAACAAAATGAAATGTGCTTAGTCCAATGTCAAAGCAGGATAAAAACAAGGAGAAGATTATTACTTAACTTTATTATCATAAAGATGAAGGGTGGAGAGAAAAAACGAAGGAAGCTTCTCATCAAAGCGTGAATTGTCGCTGGCAGGAGGGCTGTACCAAGAGCCATGGACCCGTCTTGTCACATCTTTTTTGTCACCATCCTCATCACACAGACTATCCTCTTGACATGGGGAACGTTTTAACTTCTTCTATAAGTGCATTCTATATTGGTTAGCATTTTTTTCTTTGTCACTTTGTCATCAACTTTCTTTCTTGCACGAGCATCATTTTCCATGTTCTTCATATCCGTGGAGTACTTACTAATGGTTTCACCTCTATTAATAAAATAAGATTTCATGGATTTTGATCATGAAAAATCTTGTTTGTAAACAAAATACCACTTGGCTGATAGTTGATTATCTTTAAAAATATCCTCAAGTCTATGGATCCTCTACACGCCTATAGCACTAGACCTACGGAAAGAGCGAGGCGTGATATCCAATCTTGTTAAAAAGTTGATGCTGCTGTCAGGGCAAGACCATACAAGCCTGAAAGCTTCTGGGACCATCCTCCCGCGCCACTGCACTGGGAGCACATTTAGATACGGTGTTATTGTAGCAGAATTAGCTGTACGCTCTGACAACTAGTCTACTCCAGACCTTGACTACATAATCCTCCTCGGACGTGTTGGGGCTCATTAACTCCAGATAATCTGGATCATGGTGCATGATTTTTAGCCTAAACAGTTATTGTCAATTCGTGTAAGCTAAGCTATGTCAAAATACCAACTTACAAAAGAGAATATACCATAAACAGTATCTCGTCATTCGTCAGGCAATGCCGTTGTTAGAATCGCAGGCTCTTCTTTTAAGCATTTTTCAGATTATCTTGGACCATCTATACGCCAAAATGCCGTCTTCATGCAGTAGAATAAACATCTTTATTATGTTTAGCATTTCTGAATTACGAACAAAAGGATATAGACTTACTCTTCTGACAACATTTTATAATTTTATATCTTTCTTGTTTTTTAGGCTGTTGAGGCAGAACAAACATAACGGGGACAAAAGAGTAAAGAAATCAGCAGGATCTTTTATAGTGATTGGCTGAGATTGAAAAAGGTTCAAAAAGAAGGAGGATCACTTTGGACACCCCAGCATTGAATATATCTTTCAGATAAATCAAATATTGACATGATTTAAGCGTCGCTTCCAGAAAAAAAAAAAGAATCGCGCCATTTTTAAGATGACAGACAAGGGGGGGGGGTTGAAATCAAATACTCAAGCGTTTATACCTTGAGATAATTTTGTTGTTCAACCTAACAGCTAAAAAAGCACAAATTGCCTCAAAGTGCTACCAATGAAGCATTAAAGTATAAAAAGGGGGAGGCTATCAGCATGTCGTTTACAAGGTTACATTCAGCTGCAAGAAAGAAAGAAAGAGAGAAGAGAGAGAGAAAAGAGAAAGCTTATATATATAAAGTGTAAAAATAGTAACAAACTTCATCTGTGCTACCCCTTTCCCCTCTTTTTACTATTTCTTTTATCCGCCCATAAACTTCAAGGGGGAAGGGAGATGTTTAACCCTTACTTTATCCTCCACGCTTATTTGGTCTGACTTTATCTGTTGCTTTCTTTTTTTGTACTTCAAATGTAGACTATTTTTATTACAAAAAAAAAAGAAACCATCTCGTGCAATCTATGTAAAAAAAGTATATTAAAAGATAGAACCTCATGGGCTTATCATTCATTAAAAAAAAAAGGACTTGTTCCTCTCCCCCCCCCCTTTGAAGTAAGGGATGATAGGAGATCAGAAGGGCTAAATCTAACTTCTTAGTTCCCACAACATAAAGTCCTAGTTGAACTGTACACAGATTGTAAACAAATCTACAGTGTCAAATTGACATAATTTTCAAACTCAGATTATATGAGTTGTGTGTGCTTCCACTCCAAACCAAAAAAAGGACACGTTCTTTTTTATTTTTTTTACTCCTTTTTCTACTCTTCTCTTTTTCTTTCTCTCTTTTCTCGCTTTCTTTCTCTTTTTTTTCATCTTTTTCATATACCAAAAAAGCATCCTTTCTTTACAGTAGCAATTTTTATACCCCACCAATAATAATACAATGAGAGAAATTATTCACGTTCAAGCTGGTAAGTCTCTTTTCTTGTTTTTATTCCCCTCTTCATCTCGCTCATCTCGTTGTTAATTACCCATAATAAAAAGGTCAATGTGGTAACCAAGTAAGTATAAGTCATCATAGCCATGAAAACAACTGGTTGACTTTCTATGTTTAGATTGGTCAACAATTCTGGGAAACCATCAGTCAAGAACATGGTATTGACTCCACTGGTGCATACGCTGGTGATAACGATTTACAACTTGAACGTATCAATGTTTACTATAATGAAGGCTCAGCTAATAAATACGTCCCTAGGTATGTATCTCTTTTTTTGTGTGTATTTTATATATACTCATAATCTTGTCTAGAGCTGTCTTGGTCGATCTTGAACCTGCCACTATGGATGCTATTCGTAGCAGCCCTTATGGTAAACTCTTCCGTCCTGACAACTTCATCTTTGGTCAATCAGGTGCCGGTAACTCATGGGCTAAGGGTTATTATACCGAAGGTGCTGAGTTGGTTGAATCCGTTTTGGATATCATCCGTAAAGAAGCTGAACACACAGACTGTCTTCAAGGTTTCCAACTCTGCCACTCTCTCGGTGGTGGTACCGGTTCTGGTCTTGGTTCTCTCTTGCTTTCCAAGATTCGTGAAGAATACCCCGATCGTATGCTTTGTACCTACTCTGTAGTTCCTTCTCCCAAGGTATCTGATACCGTTGTTGAACCTTATAACGCTGTCCTTTCCGTTCACCAACTCGTCGAAAACTGTGATGCCACTTTCTGTATTGATAACGAAGCTCTTTACGACATTTGCTTTAGAACTCTCAAGTTGACTAACCCTGGTTACCCCGAGTTGAACCAACTTGTCTCTGCTGTCATGTCTGGTGTCTCCACCAGTTTGCGTTTCCCTGGTCAATTGAACTCTGACTTGCGTAAGTTGTTTGTCAACATGGTTCCTTTCCCTCGTCTTCACTTCTTCATGGTCGGTTTTGCTCCCTTGACCGCTTTTGGTTCTCAGCAATACCGTAACTTGAGTGTTCCCGAATTGACCGCTCAAATGTTTGATGCTCGTAACATGATGGCTGCCTCTGATCCTCGTCACGGTCGTTACTTGACTGTCGCTACCATCTTCCGTGGTCGCTTGTCTACTAAGGAAGTCGAAAACCAAATGTTGGCTGTTCAACAAAAGAACTCTTCTTACTTTGTTGAATGGATTCCCAACAGCGTCAAGACCTCTCTCTGTGACATTCCTCCTGTTGGTCTCAAGATGTCTGGCACTTTCATTGGTAACAGCACTGCCATTCAAGAATTATTCAAGCGTGTGAACGAACAGTTCACAGCCATGTTCAGAAGAAAGGCCTTCATGCACTGGTACACAGGTGAAGGCATGGATGAAATGGAATTCACTGAAGCTGAGTCCAACATGAACGACTTGGTCTCTGAATATCAACAATACCAAGAAGCTACTGCCGATGAAGAACTCTTGGAAGAAGACGACTATCTCGAAGAAGATGAAGTCATTGAAGAAGACGAACAATAAATTTCTTTTTAATAATATATATATATATATGAATGTATGGTTTTTATGCATATTTGCACTTAATAAAACTTAGTTTTTTTTTGTGTGTGCATGTGTGTTATTTTATTCTTGTTGGAAGAATGGCCTTATCAAAGAACTCCAAAACGATGATGTATTATTATTATTATTATTATTAGTGGGAATAGTTGATTGCATATCTATTAAATCCTCTTTCATATCTATTGAGTCTTCTTGCATTGGCTCTTCAAATTCTGATAGAGCATCATAGAATGTGCTTGTAGAGGCTGTGGTTGTTGAAGCATTATCATCACTTATTGAGCATGACCGTTTCTTGGGTAGATGAGCCACATATGTATCATTTGGCAATATGCTATGTTGACTTAAATCCAGTGTATCTATTTTGGGTTCTTCTGGTTGTTCTTCTAGTTGCTCCTTTGGTTGCTCTTTCGGTTGCTCTTCTTTTTCTTCTTCTTTAGGTGTATCTTTTATCTTTAATTTCTTTGTTGGTGCTCCTATGATGACAGGTTCTGGTATAATGGATGTATCCAAGTATTTAGAAAGCGCGAGAACATCATCACTTGGCTCATCAATCAGCACTGGCTGCTGTGAGTTATTTAGCTTTCTCTTTCTCTTGGCTGGCTTCTTTTCTGCCTTTTGTTGAAGTGTTAAAATGGACCTTTTTGTTGATTTTGTATTTGCTTGTTGTTGCTGTTGTTGCGGTGATGTTGGTCTCTCTTGAGTTTCTACTACATCTTGAGTCGATTTCTCTTGAGTTTCTACTACATCTTGAATTGATTCTTTGGATGATTTTTCATCATTATTTATTGATGATGGTTTAGAAACACTGATAGACAATGCAGGAGTGGATTTTTGACGAAGTTGCCGTGAAGATGTAATAGGCTCTTTTGTACTAGATAACACTCTCTTCTTTCTTTTCACGCCTGTTGTGGTTGTTTTAGTAGTGATTGCCTTTAGTTTTCTTGTCGTTGTGTTATTCATTTGACTTTTATAGAGAGAAAAAAAATATATAAAATAAAGAGGAATACAAAATTTTTAATTGAATGGGCGATTCACAAGTACAGTGTTTTAGTAAATGTCATTAGAACAAAGCGTATTGCGTTTCCTTATCCTCTACTAACCATTTTACTTTCAGGGCGGATATTATCGTCTATCAAAGTCTCTCTCATTTTTCCTATAACACACACATATTCTCTTTTTATATCACTCCATTGTCAAAACACGTATTGACTACGTATCAGTCTATGAATGATTTTCATGCGCTATCTCAGCTTTTGTTCTCATTCGAAAAAGATGATTCCTCCCCTTTTTATGACGTAGAAAATCAGATTATTTATTTGCATAGCGAGGCTACAAATAATGAATAGAAATAAAAACCAACTTGATTCTTGACTTCGTTTACAACGATATGGGATATTTAGTGGCCTTGTTGAGGCAAAAGCCCCTTTACTTGTGCACTTTGTTGTATTCAGCTTACTATTTCAATTAGGTTGCATCCATGTTTGCTGGTATTTTATTTCCCACCTTTTGGCACTTGTTTTCACAGTGAAGGCATTTTATTTTTACGTTGTACAATTCGAACAAATAAAGAAAAGAATGATCCCAACAACCAAGATCACAAAGCTGGAAGTGTAATGTTTTCACATACAAATGAAAGAAACGTAGGAGAGAATTAATGGTAAGAATGGTAAAAACAATTACTGCGTGTCCTGTCAATGGTTTTTTTTCCGTTATGGCCTTAATTACTTTGGGTTCCAAACAGTTAGCTAAATTCACTGGGCACGTCAGCGGTATTGTTTTCATAACAGCAGCGATAAATAGTGTCCACTACATTGTAGAGGCAGTCAAGTTAGGGCATTATTTGCGGCAATTCATTAAGAGATAAAGGAAGTCGAGTGCTATCCAATTCTACCACTACTAAGACATCACTTCTTACCTGGCTTAAATGAAATTGGATATTAGTACCTAATAAATAGAAGTTTAATAGACGCACGTTGGTTTTGATGATCGTAAACTTACTCACAGCCATAACTTGAAGCATATGCCTTGCCTTGTATTCTGCTGAACCTGTTTTTGAGAACATACACAAGCGGTGCAAATCGATATTAATCTTTCTATGATTTTTAGCATATGTAATTGGCTTCACTTCAAAACATTCCACTGCTTTCTTGTCATTTTTCACGATACCATCAGGACGGTTTTGGTTACTGTCGTTGCTGATATTATCGAGACAGTTAGCATTTACCCATTTAAAGATTAATTTCATGATTGTAATCAAATATTTTTGAAAGGCAGATTGTAAAAGGAAAACATTACATGCACCAGAAAATACACTAGAAATTAGACTAGTGCTACAGGCGCCGCCTCCAGATACTATCTATGATGCCACCCAATAAAACTTTTCAGCACCTTGGTTTGTGTTTCTTTCCAAGAAGATAAAAAGAAATGTTATCAGTTTGATCAACAAAGAACCAAGATAAACTACGTATAACTATGATAAATTCGTATTTTATATCAAAGAATATCTCACGGGGCAACCTTAGATCAGATAGACACTTTGGTGGCGTAAAATTGTATAGTGACGCCGCAAGTAGTGTCTCAAGGAAGCACCCGTAGCGTTAGCCTTCTCGTGGATTTCCTCGTGCGCGTAGCGTTTACCAAGTAAAAAGGCTAATTCTTCACATACATCAAAAGATTTTGAAATTTTTTAGGATAATTATACGTGCACCAGATTCTTTGGCCTGAATCGCGTTTGTGTTTTCACCATAAAGAGTTCGCTATAAAAAAAAAATTAAAATTTAAGTAACGCGCACACACGCGCAGAAGAACCTGAAGCAAATTTGAGAGTTTTTTTTTTTCACTGCTTTTATGCCAGATCCAAAAAAGCCAATGGGACAAAGCTCGCTTCTGTCTTTTTTTACAAAGAAGACAGAGCCAGCCCCTCAGTCAAAGCCAGTCCCTCAGTCAAAACCAGTACCTTCACCACAGAATGATTCAATGCAAGTAGATTCAACTATTGCAGAAGATCCAAACAATGCACAAGTAAATGACATTACAATTACTGATACTATAAACTCACACATATTAGAAACGAAGACGTGCACAAGTGACATATAATGAGTTTGATAGCGAAGAAGAAGAAGCGCCTATCAAACCCTCAACTACAGGTAAATAAGTCCAGCGTCCTCCCTTTTTTTTGACTAATATGTATATTTTGGATAGGAAAGAAACGTAAATTGGTACGTCGTATCAGCAACGAAGACAGTGAAGATGAATATACACCAACAAACAATAATAAAGAGGATGATGATGTATTTGATGATATATCTGATACAGAACTGATGGAAATAGAAAGAGATATCGCTACATCAAAGAATAAAATACCAGTTACACCCATAGCAGAAAAGTTTCAAGTAAAAAAGAAAGAAAGTGTATATGCTTTGGTTTATCTGATATTTGTTTTTAGAAATTTTCAGTCTCGTCTACTCCTGCTCCACTTACTTTTAATCCTGGAGCTACTGCCAAACAAGTAAGATATATAAACAGAAAGAGGTTTGATATACTCATATTTTTGTAATAGACAAAGGCTCAGAAATTCAAGGAAAAGAATGAAACCAGATACCAGTGGCTTCAAAACTTACGAGATGCAGATGGAAACCCTGTAGATTCACCAAACTATGACCCTAGAACACTTTATATTCCTGCCTCTGCTTGGCGTGAATTTACTCCATTCGAAAAGCAATACTGGGAAGTCAAGTGCAAACATTGGGATACGGTAAAATGATCACGTATACGCCTTTTTTTTTTTTATACTAACGCTATTGAAGGTTGTTTTTTTCAAAAAAGGCAAATTTTATGGTAAGAATATATATGCGTGTAAGAGCTTTATTTACTTAATGGTACGCTATGTAGAACTTTATGAGAAAGATGCTGATATTGGACACAAGGACTTTGATTTGAAAATGACAGATCGAGTCAATATGCGTATGGTTGGTGTACCTGAAATGTCTTTTGATTATTGGGCCGCTCAATTTATCGCCAAAGGACATAAAGTGGCCAAGGTAGATCAGATGGAAACTGCCATTGGTAAATCCATGCGCGAGAAAAATGCAACGACAAAGCAGGATAAGGTCATAAGAAGAGAACTTACCTCTGTATTGACTGCTGGTACCTTGGTTGATGCCGGATTATTAACCAACGATCTCAGCACGTACTGTATGTCGATCAAGGAGCAATGCATGAATGAACAGTCAGAGCCCAGGTTCGGTATTTGCTTTGTAGACACAGCAACGGCAGAATTCAATCTTGTTCATTTTGAAGATGATATGAATAGGACCAAGCTGGAAACACTATTAATGCAAATCAAGCCGAGGGAGCTAGTCACCGAAAAGGGCAGACTCACCAAGAGCACAATGCAACTTATCAAGTCAACGGTAAATGATCCGCTTTGGAATATGCTTATTCCTGAACGTGAGTTTTGGGATGATCGCACCACGGAGGATGAGATCAGGATTAATGAGTACTTTGGCTCCGAGATGACGGAAAAAGACAATCTCTCAGGCTTCGACCAAGCCATGCAGGAGCTTCATACAGATCCTTTGCTGATGTCGGCTTTTGGTGCCATGATTTGGTACCTTCGTTCAGTAAGTTTTCCCTTGATCACTTTATACATGCCACTAAAATAATTCAAAATATAGCTTAAATTGGACAAAGACTTGCTATCAGCCAAACATATTCAAATGTACGACCCTATTCGTCTTGGCACATCGCTCGTTCTTGACGGTCAAACGCTTGCCAACCTTGAAATCTTTCAAAACTCACATGACGGAAGTACAGATGGCACCGTGTTCAAGCTACTGGCCAACAGCATTACACCTTTTGGCAAGCGACTCTTCAAACGATGGCTTTGTCATCCTTTACGACGCATTCAAGATATCAATGCACGCTTAGATGCTATTGAGGATCTGATGCAATTAAATGATGCTGAGATCATAGCCAAGCAGCTAGCTTCTCTGCCCGACCTTGAGCGACTGATCTCACGTATTCACTCGGGTAGTGTAAAAGTAAAAGAATTCTTGACTGTCCTCGAAGGGTTCAGAACGACCGAGATGATTATAGAGACTATGAAGCAAAGCCAGTCTCAGCTCAAATCAAGCTTGTTGAATCGTTTGATGGATGACTTTCCACAGATTGGACCAGCGTTGGAAGAACTATCTGGTTTATTTACAACAGCTGATGTTGACATGGACTGTACGTTTAGATATGTATATTATTTTGGATCTAATTGTACCTTGTAGATCAAAAAGTGAAAGCAATGATTCCTAAAAGTGGAAAGAATGCAGATTGGGACAAACTGAATAATGACATTGATGCAATCGGAACAGAGTTCCAAACGCATCTTGCTTCACTCAAGAAACAGCTCAAGTAAGTTACTTTTATTTGCACCGCAAAAACATATTAACATCCTCCCAAACAAGATGCTCTTCTCTTGCTTATAAAGATCTGGGCAAGGATATATATCAGATTGAAGTGCCAAAGGGTGTGTCTGTTCCAAGTGACTGGATCAAGCTGTCTAATACTGCTGTGAGTATATATATATATATGTATTTGTTGAAAATAGTGCTTATTGTGCCCTTTTAGAAATTCAATCGGTACTGGGATAGTACCGTCAAGCGCTTGGTGACTAGATACAAAGAATTGTTGGAGACAAAAAATGAATTTGTTAAAAAGTTCTCTCAGCAAGTCTATGCTCATTTTGATGAGTTTTATCCAATGTGGTTATCTGCCGTTTCAACTGTTGCTCAGCTTGATGCGCTTATGGGATTAGCAAAGGGATCAATGAACATGGGAGGTAAATGAGTATACATTGTTACATGCGGGTTTCTGAAAATTATGCATTTATAGAGCCTGTTTGCAGACCTACTTTACTAGATCAAGAAAAGAGTGTTATTGAATTTGAAGAATTAAGGCATCCATGTGTCGTACCTGGGTAAGAGTTGTACATTAGCTAAGAGTTCAGATACCAATTCATCCTATGACACAGTGTTTCCACAGACTTTATACCAAACGACGTTGCCCTTGGTGGAGAACGCTCAAACATGATTGTATTGACTGGTCCAAACATGGGTGGTAAATCAACTCTTTTAAGACAGGTAACAGCAAAAATAAAGACATGCTATGCTTATACTCATGTTTCTCCTTAGACATGCGTTGCTATCATTCTAGCACAACTCGGGAGCTATGTTCCTGCAAGATCATGTCGATTGACGCCATGTGATAGAATCTATACAAGAATTGGGGCCAATGATAACATCATGGGTGGTCAGTCCACCTTTATGGTTGAATTGGCTGAGACATCCAAGATTCTTCGAGAGGCAACGCCCCGATCGATGGTCATCTTGGATGAATTGGGCAGAGGCACGTCTACTTATGATGGATATGCCATTGCTTACTCAGTCCTGCACTACCTGAGCACTCATATTGGATGTCTAGGCATGTTTGCCACACACTACCAGACTCTTTGTAGAGAGTTTGAAAGAAACCCAGAGATCAATAATATGCACATGTAAGTGAACCATGATTCGATAGGATAATATGTACTTAGTTTTTCTTAGGGGATACATGATGGATGAGGATGAGCATAATGTTACTTTTTTGTACAAGCTTACTAAGGGCATTTGCGAGAAATCATTTGGTATGAATGTGGCAAGAATGGCCAATATACCTTCAAGTGTGGTTGATAGAGCAGACGAGATCGCACAGCAGGTCGAAGTGTCACATAGGATGAAGGATACGACATTTACGAAATCACTGACACCAGCAGTTATGAGTGACTTGAAATACCTCATGAACAATCAACATCGTGATGCTAGAGATGCAGCCACAAGAAGGATTGTGAATAGTTTTATGCACATCAAGGCTTAACAAAGATGAATGTAGTGTATATATAAAAGGGGAATATTTTTTATTCAAAAGACTTAAGGGTGCGAATAAAGCGATCTACTGCCACTCTAAATAGTTCATTTGATATATTTCCTGGTTGAGGCGTTGTAGATGAAGAAGCGGGCTGTTGTTGTTGTATACTGTGTTCTGTATTTTCACTTGTCGGCAAGTAACCATGACTAATTTCCCAGCGGGTATCATCGAAACGCATAAGTCCATTTTTCACCACAAACTCGACATAGAGTTGAATGTATATCTGTTTGAGAACCAATCGAAGATTCTCTGTATTAGGATCTGAGTTCATCACAAATTTCAATCCAGTGGGTGTTTCATAGTAGTGTAAGCGATAGGTGGATGTCCTGTAAGATATAAAGCCGTCCTGACTACAAACATATTTATATACTGTTTAAATATATACTATAGTGTGTACCTTCCACTCAGTTTACGTACAAAGTTACGTAAAGAGAGAATAACACCATATACTAACTTTGCTTCTTCCTCAATAGAGATGACGCTTCCTGCAGCCAGGCCACTTTGTACTGTTTGACTTCGAACAAGAGAAGATGAATTTGTGTTTTCTGCAACTGAAGATGCAGCACTTGAAGCCGAGAAACGAGATGAGTTTGTAGTCGCGGTGAGTGTGCCTAAGCGACTGCTATTATTTAGCTGACTATTTGTGCTTGTTCCTGTGATGGAGGAAGATGTTGTTACAGCTGGTGCTGTCTTGTGAGACCATTTCTGAAAATAGATGCACTGACAATGGCGATCGAATATGTATAAATTGTATATTGTCATCTATAAGTAACAACAACAAAAACAAAAAAAAGCGAAAAAGTGAAGTGAACCCACTGTACGCACACCAGAAATAAAGTAATACAAAAATTATATACCTGAGTCAAAAAGATTTTCAATTCATTGTATGAAAAGATAACACTTGATGAACACGCGTCAAGGGTTCTCATTCAAGGGGTACATGTGTGTCATGAGGGTTGTCGTTATAAAAAATTCCGAAAGACTGCTCTATTTTTCATCCAAACATCTTGAACATTTAGCGTCTGATGTGTGTTTGATAAGATTCATTCTAACACTGTTTATGTAGCAAAGCATACATAAATAATCACAGTTTATACTATCTGCAATAAAGAGTTCGTTGGTCGACTTTTGACTTTTACAGATAAAGAAACCACAACGACTTGTTGACATGAAAGAAACATTTGAGAACAAAGAACTTCGCAAAAGGATAGCAAAGCTGTAATGATAAAGGTAAAAGCCCCCTTTTAGAAATAGGATGGTTTCCGAAAATCCTTTCTCTAGACTGCATAGTTAGCCCTTGTGTGCCTTAAAGAGATGGTTATAAACGATAATGATGACATCGTCTCCCCCTTGCTTGCTCAAACTATGTTAATTTCAAATGAAGTAAATATTTTAATATTTTGAATAAAGAGCAAAGATCAGGGCGTAAAACTTTATTCTCTCAATTTCATTATTCTCCCTTATAAAAAGTCACATCTGCAACTTTTTTTCTTTTTCATTATTCTCCCTCCTCTTTACTTTTTATTATGCTTGAACCAAATTCAGCTGAACAACCTATGAATTACCAAACTGAAGAGCAACCAAACCAACAAAATACAGAGAGCCAACAAGAGCAATCAGAGGAGACAAAAGAACTATTATTTGAAGTGAATGAGAAAGTCTTGTGTTATCACGGTCCTTTAATCTATGAAGCAAAAGTAAAGCTTTAATCTTATATTTTTCAATACTTATATATTCATGATAGATTATGGACAGACAATGGATGAACGAAGACCCAGAGCTTCAAGGTCCTTATTATTTTGTTCACTATAAAGGATGGAAACGAACGTGAGTGATATTTTTTTCATGATTGTTTTTTGTCTTCTAATAACTATCTTAGTTGGGATGAATGGGTTCCTGAAACGCGTCTTTTGAAATGGTGTGATGAAAATATAAAAATGCAACTTCGATTAAGGGATCTTTATCGTATGAAGCAAAGTGGAAGAAGTCAAAATACATATAAAGAAGCAGAGTCTAGTGATGGCGGACTTGGTAAAAGACGAAGAGATGCCAAGTTGGAAAAGGAAGAAGACTATCTAAGAAAGCCAGAGATCAAACTTGAGATACCCGATGCATTAAAAGGTCAATTGGTGGATGATTGGGAGAACGTGACAAAGAACCAACAACTTGTTACTTTACCAAGAGAAATAACTGTCAATGGTGTCCTGGAGCGTTATAAAGCATACAAAAGAGAAAAGAAAGGAAATCGTGAATTGTAAGTAAAAAACGTCATAAGAATATACATGATAACCAATATTATATGTTCAGGAATGAGGATTTGCTTGAAGAAGTATTACATGGTCTTCGTATTTATTTTAATAAAGCATTAGGAACAATGTTATTATATCGGTTCGAAAGACATCAATACGCAGAGATCCTTCGACAGCATCCGAATACAGAACCAGTGGATGTGTATGGAGCAGAACACCTACTGCGCCTCTTTGGTAAGACAATGAACAAAATATAAAGACTGGCTTATTTACGATATACACAAACAGTGCAAATGCCTAGTTTAATTGCTCATACGACTATGGATACAGACGCTGTTCAAGTGTTGACAGATTATCTAAGTGACATACTGCGGTAAGTTCACTATGTGCTTTACTCTTAGCATCGCCCTCATCTTTCTTTTTGATTAGCTTTATGCAAAAACAACAAAAACAGTTATTCCAAACTGAATACGAAAATGCTGTACCAGGTTATGTTGCCTTATCTGAAAGTACATAAATCATGCTTTAAAAATGAACTTGCCTTTATCATATTTTGCGTGTATGTTTTTACAAACAAGTGAGAGCCACTCTTTTCGTTATTATATCCGAGCGTAGATTATCCTATCTTTTCAAAAGAAGGTACGCCAAATGTTATTAAGGATGAATTACAGTGAATTTAGAACCTCTGCAAAATAATAAAACAGGCCATTGAATGTAAGAGATAGTATTATCTTTATTGTCGTGGCTTGTTTTTTTTTAGCTTTTAAAAAAGGGGAAAACTGAGTGATATCATTGTGTATCATGCTTTTTCCAAGTACAGTACGCTATCCACTTCGAGCCGTTTGGGACGTAAAAGGATATCCAACCGAGACTTTACTATGGCCAGCCAAGAATAATACAAACAAGACTGTGCTTTTCTTTATTCCAGGTAATCCAGGCTTGGTAGAGTACTATACGACATTTCTCGACAACATTTACCAGAACTTGCAATCACCTCTTCTTGAAATCATTGGAGGTAACTTAAGAAATGTAGAATTACTTGAAAGCTTATTCGGTTGTATAGTATCACATAAAGGACATTCAGTCAACTATCATGCAGATACTGCTAGAGATAAGACCCTGTACTCTTTTGAAGATCAAATACAACACAAAATCGACTGCTTAGACACGCTTATCAAAGAGAATGGCCCAGAAACTAAGTTTATCTTGATTGCCCATTCCATTGGTTCGTACATAGCAGCTGAAATGCTAAAGAAGAGACCTAACCACGGTATTTCAAGAATCATTGCTCTTTTCCCTGCACTTCAGAATATTGCAGTAACACCAAACGGCGTCGTTATCTCGGTAAGTTGAGGCAAGAAAAAATGGGAATCTTGATCAATTGACAATAATACAGAAAGTTATCAATTGGACACCTATTTCAGCCGTTGGTGCGGCTGGTTCACTCATCTCTTGGCTGGCTCCGCCTGTTCGTGAATTTTTGGTCAAGGCTATCACCAGACAATCTGGTAATGGTCTTAACGTAACTGCGCACCAACTGTTGCACTCATCTGTATTGATGAACACAATAACTATGGCCCGTTACGAAATGGAAACAGTCAAGGACTTGGATCATGACTTTTATCAACAGCATCTTGAAAAGTTTGTTATTTACTATTCTGAGAATGACAAGTGGGCACCTAAAGAGCACTACGACTACATGATCAAGCATTTCCCCAAAGGTACGTGTATATAAAAAGAATAGTACGTCCTGTTAATTACTTGTTCACTCTAGGTGATATCCACTTGTGTAAATTGAGCTTACCCCATGCATTCTGCTTAGGTATATAATTTTACAAATATCTTTATTTAAACTGTTACTCAACACACATATAGAATCTGATCATGTTGATTATATGGCAAAGCTAGCTGCTTCATGGATACGAAAGAATCTCGTAGAATAAAATATTTTATGTGGATTATTCCTTTCCTTACTTTGAAATTTACTTAAAGTTTAAGCATCTGATATCATTGATAAAAGAAAGCAAAGCGCAATTGAATAAATTATATTACTATAGTAAAAGTATCATAATAACAAACTGTAGGATCACAACAATTGATGCAAACTAGGTCAGCTTAAACAAGCAAGTAAACAACAACGGCAGTGGCAGCAGCAGTAACCATGCCGCCAACCTGCAAGTTGCTGGCAGCACTAGCAGGATGATTAGAAGCTACTGATGCGCTTGATTGGGAAGAAGCAGCAGGTTCTTTAGATGCAGGAGCAGTTGCGTTTGATTGGGCATTTGGTCCAATAGAAGCAACACCAGAGGAAGAAGGACTACTTGATGGAGCAGGTGTAGAAGAAGATTCAGCTTGAGCTAGAATCATATAAGAGGTTAGAAAATACTACTTCTCTTAATACTTTATCTTGGAACGTACCCGATGTACTTTGATTAGGAACGCTTGAGGCAGCAGCAGTCTGCGAAGAAGCAGCTGACTGGGTAGTAGGAGCAGGCTGTGAGGTAGTAGTGGTGGTAGCAGCAGCTTGCGAGGTAGTAGTTTGGCCGGAGCCATTGCTTGAACCACAGGAATCGTTCTTGTGCTGTGCCCACCAAGCGCATGCACTAGCGAACTCTTGATTGAACAAGTCAGGATTTGAGCAGGACACCATACACATGCCCGCCTTTGTCATGAACGCCATGTATTCTGCAGTGCCCTTGCTACACATTAAAGAAAGCGACTTGAGGAAATTAGGGGAAGCAGGATCATTAGTCCAGTCGCTAAAAAACGTTTTACCAGCACTCTTTGTGTTCATGGAGGGAAAACAATTAAATCTAATTCCATTGTACAGATTTTATATATACTTTACCTCGTTACATTTAGCAAAACATTCACCAGCAGAAGGTGTGTTGTAAGTTGGGTTACAGCTTTGAGCTGAAACAACGGTAGCAGCAGCAGCAGTAAGAGCAACAAAAGTAGCAGAACGCATGACGAATCAGAAATTTGGAAGAACAAGAAGAAGAAAAAAGAGAAAACAAAAAGTTTTTATAGAACAAGTCTATGTTACGTCGGTAAAACTCGCCTGAACTAAAAACGTTTATGCCTCAAGGTCCCTTGTTACACAAAACAAAAGTAAAAAAATTCTGGCCTGAAAAGCAAAAGCGGGGATACCTCACACGAAAAACAAAAAAAGCTTATTAAGGTATAAAAGAACGCAAAGAAAAGTAGGTTTGCAATTGTCCGCTTAAACTACTTGGTGGGACAGACTTTATCAGATCTTTTTTCGTTGGCTTGTTTAGATCATTACGCTCCTCTACCAAGAACGCCTACGGTGCTTAAATCAATCGATTCTTCTTTTTATTGATGTCTCTATCGTTTAAGCTATAAAAAATTCAAAATTCAGCAGCAACAGAAGATGGAGAAAATTCTCTTTTTCAAAAAGTTATACCGCCGATTTCACAAATTGAAAACAAGCGTACCATCTGATAAGATTCCATTGCTAATCGGAAATACAATCACATCTGATAAAAATACCATCACATGTAACCTTGCACTGTTGCTACATGGCAAAACTTTTCTCAGCTGTGTAACGACTGACGTTTCCATGCAAACGGACGTACGTATTTATTAGTTTTTTTTGATTTTTGTCTCATAAGCAATACTTCAATCATTTGTTATGGATCACAATTCAAGAATTTATTCTGAAGAAAAGATTGAGCTGTCACAAGATAGTATATTGACAGTTGAACAAACAAACTCACTACAGCCAACCGATGAACCTCCTCCTCGTAAATTCCTTTGGTGGATTCCTCTTCAACATCATGTTCATCCTTTGCAATTCTTTGCTTTTATCTTTGCGGTATTCCTTTCGTTATCTTGTATCGTCTATATTGCTGGAACTCAACCTCAAATCTTAATGGGTATTCTTGCTGTTTATACCAATACAGGAGATATCACTGGATCACTTTCCTTATACGCGGAAATAGTTGCCGTTATTGGCGTCATTTTCTGGTCCATGGCTTCGGATACTATTGGACGCAGAGGTGTTATGAGTTGCTCTATCTTGCTCATGGGCCTTGCCATTGTTTGTTATCCTCATGTAAAAAGCGTTTATCCTAGTCTACTTATTCTCAAGCTATTGTTCTCGATTGGGTCTTCAGGATCTACTGCCATGATGGTAGCCATGATGATGGAAGTTGCTTATGGAAAAGGTGGCCTTGTATCTGGCTGTATTGGCATTGCTTCTGGACTTGGTGCTACATTTGCTGCCTTGTGTCTTTTTATGGTCCCTGCCTATTTATCGATAGCTCACCCAGGGGGTAACCTTGGCATTATATACTCACACGCTATCATTGGAGGTTGCAGCATGGTCTTGGCTATTGTTTTATTTTTTGCTATGCCTAAGGACTCTTGTACTCGTCCACCTGTCAATCACTTTAAAGCCTACGGTTCCAAGTTATATCGTGGTATCCTAGCTGCTAAAGAACCACGTGTGGCCCTTGGATACGCTTCTAGTTTCTTTGCCCGCGCTGATGAAATTATTATTTCCAACTTTTTATCACTTTGGGTACAAAAATACTATATCGAAAAGGGCATGTGTAGCGTAGGAAAAACATGCCTTTATTCCATGGCCTCATCATCTACATTATCAGGCTACTCACAGCTTGTTGCTCTTGCAGCCACACCTTTTTTTTCACTTGCTTCAGAATATCTTCCTAAAGAATGGGCCGTATTTATTGCTGGCGTTGTGGGCGCTTGTGGATGTATTCCTTTTGCGTTCTCTATCGATCCTACAACGAAACTGTCTTTGGGTTTTGTTATTTTGATTGCCTGTGGCCAATATGGTATGATTATCTCTGGAATGGCGATGGTTGCTGGCAAACATGTCGACAGAAAAGATAATGCTGCTGTATCTGCCTGTTATTCGTTTATTGGTGCTATTGGTATCATCATTCTGTCTAAAGTAGGCGGTGTTTTGTTTGATAAATGGATGAAGGGTGCTCCTTTTTTACTTTTAGGAATCGGCCACGCTTTAGTTTGCATCATGTCAATTATTGTCTATTTACAGCGAGCTATAATAGAAAGAACGAGAAAAAGGAACAACTAACAGTATATAATTATAACTTATTTATAATAAAAAAAAAACGTTTAGCTCTTTGAGAAGATTATTGATATTTTATATAATTACATCAAGATAAACAACTTGTGGCATATATACACAATAGCTTTAGCAAGTAAGCTTATTGAAAAATGCCTTGTAGATTATGATATATCACTATTATTTACTTTGAGAGAAGCATAGGCTAGTGATTCATTTCGATTCTTTAATACGTCCCTTTATTAATCTAGAGGCAATATTCATCAAAGCTTGCAATCTCTCTTTGCATTATGCTGTTCCTTGATAACAGTTAAAATGTACATACATTTATGACATATTATAGTATTTTGGATATAAAAACAATGATGTAAGTCTAATGTGTTCAACTAGCTTTTAAGTGATTCGATAATTGCTATAGAATAAAGATTGTAAAAAATATCAATTCAGATACGCTTTTAACAAGATATGAATCGTTACAGATACCGATGCTTTAGCAAAACGAATCAAAAGATACACTTTTCAGTATTTTGTTATTTAATACGAAAACCAATATGTGTAGCTTTATAGTTAAAACAGTATTAAAGAGTGTTGTTTCTTGGAAAGACACCAAATAACAAAGGTTCAAGAGGGATACATAGAGTTTAGTAAATGCTGTAGTATATATTCTTTCTATAAATAAACTGAAGCACTTTATCATTTGTCCATAAGAACTGTTAGATAGCTTGGATATTACTAAACTATTTCTTTTTTCCTGGAGATGAATATAGCTTAGAAAGTATCATTAACAGGAAAATAAACAACGCTTCTTTTAAAAAGAACGATTGTTGTTTTTATAGATGTATGGTTTGAGTGGATGAAACTTGAAACTTTAATAGTTTTATGGATAAAAAGATGGTCTTTTTGCAAAAGTTTTTGGTAAATACGTATAAAATTAACGGCTAGATATTTTAATAAAACCAATTGTGATAAATAAAGAAAAGAGAATAAAATCAAGAGCGTTTTAGCAAAGATAGATCTATGTATTGTGTGATCATAAAATATAAAAAAAGAAGTAGTGATATCAGGTCCATTTACCAACTCAAATAAAATAAGTAAAGTAAAATAAAAGGTTTAGAGTAGAAATAAGAAAATGTTTGTTTCAAAAGATTCAATCTTTTATTAAATGAATTCAAAGGAGACAGAATTACTGTCATTTATTAGTCTGTATGTAAAGTTACTGATAAGATAGTAAGTCTGAATTGGCGATTAAGAAGAAACTTGATAGTAATTGAAATACATAAGTGACCGCCGAATCTTATTAGAAGGTCAACTGAATAATTTATTTAATAAAAAAAGAATAGAATGATATACTTTTATAAACAAAGTAATTTCTCACTTATTGTATTGTAAATTCTATGAGCCTTGGGCTTGAGTGTGTTGTAAAAGGTAATAAAATAGAAGTTTGTGTATTCATAGTCTTTGTAAGACTTGAGGTTCGTAGCAAAAGTGTTTAAAAGGTAAAGTTATAATAAAGGTTGTACAGTAAAAAGAATAATAAAAAGGTTCCTGAACCCACTTGATTGGGTTATCCAGAAGTTAATAAAATATAAAAAGGAAAAGGTTGTGATTCAAATCGTAAGTGATTTATCGAATGATATGAGCTTTTTGCAAAAGCATTGCTCTTTTATACTTGTTAAAAAGTAATTGGAGTTTTGATATTCAAAGTTTTTTTTTTTTTTTTGAAAACTGTGCTACATCATTTCATTGTTTATGATTCCAACCTTTTCAAACAAAACGAAAGTTTTCATAAGACCGACAATGTCACTTTCTTGATTACAATATTTTTTGCTATTGTGACGGGTTGTGTCTTGTTAGGCTGCCTTATATATAAGAGTTTAAAATAGGATTTGAATAGATTTGGAGACGTTAAATCTTGTAAAAGTTAGATATTCTTGTACGAGTAGGTTGCTTGTTTGTGACCACCAGATCTTTGACAGATCAATTAAGTAAGTAAATCAAAAGTTAAAAGATACAATAAGAAGATAAGTCTTTAAGATGAATTCACTATTGAGTTCACTACTGAGTTTTTTATTTCATAAAAATAAGAGGATATTTATATATTGTAAAAGGTTAGGTTTGGGTAAAGGCTTGAATATAATTTGAGTTATATAAGGGTTTCTGTCGCGTGATCACCAGATCTTAATAGATCAAAAGAAATAACTTGCGTTATATAAAAATAAAAGTAAAGATAAAAGTGAATCCTACTGATACGAGGCTTCAAGGTAAGCGTATCGGTAGTTGAGAGTGTTAAAAGAAAAGTAAAAGTATAAAAGAATAATAAAAAGTACTTTAAAATACAAAATGTATTAGAAAGTAAAAGTCTTTAAATAAAAGAATATAAAGGTGAGTGAGTTATACTGAGAACAGAACTAACTGATAGCTAACTAATAACTAGATGATCACTAGATGATAACTAGATGATTTTATTTAAAAGTATTGAATGTATTTATACTAAAATAATTTAAAATTCATTTGTTTGAACTTCATACAAGTCGTGAAGTTCGTCTGCTTCATGAAGTTCATCTGTTTCAACTTCGCTATTGTTACAATATATAATAAATGATAAATGATAAATCATTAAAACTTGCATTAGGCATGCAGAGTATAAGATATCAAAAAGGGTATTAGTACAATATACTAATTATAAAAAAAAATAACCAGGCTTGCTATACTATAGATTACTTACACAAGTATAGAGGCTAAAGATGACAAGCAATAACCCCTACGCGCACCCCGAATACAAGGGTAAAAAATCTGCGCGAACCGGGAATCGAACCCGGGCCCTTCGCGTGGCAGGCGAAGATTATACCACTTAACCATCCGCGCTTACTGATGAAAGTGTAAGTGCTAAAATTTAATAAAGTAAATAATTTCACGTGACAATCACGTGATTGATTATTGTCACTTCTGAAGTCATAAAAAATAGCTTCTTTTACCTCTGCTTTTTATTTGGAAAACAGCTGAATTAAGGTTACAGTTGATCTAAAAAATAATTATATCGTTTGCAGTAGAACAACACTTGCTTTTAACTAGTGTTGATATTGAAATCTGTAATAAATATAAATAAAATGAATTTACGCAGCAGAAAAATACATAGACACTCCTATAACAAAACATGCTATTAAGAATGTCACTCTCAGTAAGCGTAGACTATGATAATTAATAAATAAACCAAAGTATAACAATGTGTAAAGAAGAATGCAATACTTTGGAGAATTCAAAGTAGTGACTGTTTTTATGTCATTAAAAAAAGAGGCAAGGCGCATGCTCACATTTTTTATCTTCATTAAGATGTAATACTCGCGAATCCTTTTGTATCTTTTGCAACCAAACCATAAACGACGGAACACGTAAAGCTTCCAAAGCTTTTATTTTTTGGAATCAATGTCCTGGTTACCCACGCATAAGTCAAATATTGAGGTAGATTTAAATTGACTACAGATTGATTGTCCCTAAATCTGAAATGACTTTTATATCATCAAGACTCATAGTATTAATGTCGCTTTTGATGGCATGATTGGCATGGTGAATAGCTGTATCAAGAAATACTCTTCAAAGACGCCTTTTTTGTACTCTCATTTTAAGTCAAGAGACTGGTTTATCAACAAATTTCCGGTCAAAGCAAGAGAGCACGATGTATGTAAAAATGGCTATGCATTGTTTGGAGATAAGACGGTGACGACAGGTGTGGTGAGTACAAAGCAAGTGCGGGAAAGATGAAATATCTTTCTTTAATTGAGCAGCTAGTACTGCTTGTCAGTAACGATGAAACCCTTGAGCTTGTGAAATCATCCGAGAAGTATGAGGAGAATCAAGATGTTCTCTATGACTCTTTTGATGGTATCCTTGGTGAAACTTTTTCCGTTTTACAGCAACAGAAAAGACCGACTGGTCCTCTATCTTGGTCTTTATAATGACGAATTCTTAGTTTTTAAAAATGGAAAGCACGCGATGACTATCTTCCACTTGGTTACTTTGAACTTACCCAAGGCAATCCGTACTGAAAACAAGTACATGCTTCAGCTATGTGTTGCTCCTGGCCCAAAGTCTCCAAGAGAACTTTTTTCGTTCATCAAGCCGATTAAGCAAGAATTGGAAATTTTGCAATCGAAAGGCTTTAGACTGTCAGGTTCAAGCATGGCTGTTAATGCACATATTCTGTTTGCATCTGGTGACATTCCTGCTTGTGCTAAGCTTGCTGGTCAATCAGGACATGTCCACCTACGCGGATGCAGATGCTGCATTATCAAAGCAGCAAGAATCGAAAACAGAATTTTTTTTTTACTTCTGAATTATTCTATCAAGTAAATTCAGGCACTCTTTATCTTTTTATTCAGCATGGTCAACTTTACACAATCTGGTAGCTACGCACTGAACTTTTTTACTTTTACTTTACCTTGTTTGACACTTACTATGAATTCCAATTGATGCTTCTTTTTTTGTAAAATATTTTTCACTTTACTTGTATTAAAACACGATGAGCAGTATTTTTTATCCTGAAAATGGTCAAGGAAAGTTTTTCGATGAACATGGGAATGAGGTGATGGATTGGGGAAGAAGAGCTTAATCCTTTTTATTTGAAAAACCCTACTAACTTTGGTCAATATCAAAAAGAATCAGTGCCCTGAACTTCATTCTAATGGCGAGAACCTTATTTTTTAAAAAAAGTGAGGAAGTTCGTGCTGGGAAGTCTTAAAATGCCTATATTGGCGATGAGAAAACTCTTTTCTTGTATTATTTAAAGTTCAAACTGTACAAAGCTGCGGTTGTCAGTAGAATGGTCAGCATTACCGAATGTACAGTTCAAGATTGGACTAAATGAGCTAAAGGAAGAACTTGATTGGGGCATTTATGAAAGATCAGCAAAGTATATCGAAAGAAGAATCAGTCATGGGAGGGATATAAGGAGTATTTCATCAGTCTCTTTGATAGAAGCTCCTTTGCAACTACGAAAGATATTGTTGATAGCTTGACTGAAGCATTCAGGAGATTTACTTTGAAAGAGACAGTAGTTAGGGCGTTCATTTCAAATGAGTGTAGCATATCAATTAAAAGAGTCAGTCATCATCCCTTTGTAAGAAGTGATAAAACAAGACACAACCTCCGTTATGAATGGGTAAGACACTGGACACAAACTGGACAGAAACTGATATATTTTTCTTCGAAACTGCATTTTCATTGATGAAACCGGCTTTGACATTATTATGAGACCTTCTTCTCGGAATCAGGAGCTTTAAAAATTTCCTAATCAAATTAGGATCCACAATTCAAAAGTAGGGTAATATATGTATAGTTTATTCTGGATCCATTAATGAAAGCATCTTGATCCTCGTCGAGTTCTTCCAGCTTGACTTCCATTTCTTCATACGGAAGGTCATTTTTCGTGAGGCTTTGGCCGACACCTTCCAGGAAAAAACGTAAATCTTTTTGTTTCTGAATCGTTTCTTTGATATATACGTTGGTCATGTTTTATGAAAAAAATGAAATAAAATACGATAAAGATAAAGAAAAATTACAGAGTTATCCTTTTAATATATTCTTTTCTTATCTTCATCTTATCCTGATTTCTATGTCAAGCATCGTTCGATATTTTTCTCTTCTCTTTTAGACTTTGAACTAATCTCACTCCTTTTTCGTACTTTAATCCGAAACTTATTCATGGATAGCTCATGCTGTCACGGATACATGGACTAAATTAGTTATTAGAAACGCTAAATTCTTCTATGAAATGCGCTTAAACGGTTCCTTTTTTTTTTTTGCTCTATTTTATTCTGGTCTCTTCTATTTTAAAAAGATCTCCATGGCAGCCGCCGTCAATTATCATATGTCAGTTGTGATTAACTAGGAGTTTTATGTAAAATGATCAACAAAAATGAAAAGCTACAAATCTCCCAAATGGGACTCTTTCGTTTTTTCACAAGCAAAAAGTAGTTAAATCCAAAAATATACTAAATGCTATATTCTTTTGATCTTTGTTTATAGTATAGATATTACTTTAGGATAAACTCATTCAATTTTTTAAGTAAAAATGTAAAGCAATTCAAATAAAAGACTATAAAATAACTATTTCATAGTAACGAAACGAAATTTAGTGTAAATATTGTTATTAATTAATCTTCTAATATGAATGAAACGAGTAAACTTGAGGAATTAAACCAAAAACAAGCCTCAGCAAGACGCTTTTATTCCTGATTAATATGCTAGCCATTTATTCTGTTATAGCGAAAGCACGACTGAAAAATAAGGGCTGTATAAACAATGAGAAAAAAAAATTAAGATGCTGCTTTAAGCTTTATTGATAACAATTCCGATGAGTCTAATAATTTCTCCTGCTTTCTGGTCGTTGCTTGACTTGTGGATAGTAATAAAAAAAATAGAATATTGCTCTTATTTCATGGTGCCTCCTTAGACCTAGAATAATATATCGTCTCATACATGACATGACAAAGAGCTGATTTTTTGTTCTTTGTTTGAACGTAATTAATGTCACCAGGGTATTTTTTTTAGGTTTCATTTTAGATCTCAGGCAGCAAGGAACTTGTGGCGGGTGCGGCTAATATGGCCATTATCTAGCTTGCTTTCCTAGGCGACTGGTAGCTCAAATTCCTTTCGATATTAAAAGGAATATATGCCCTTTTTGGCATCCTTGTAAAAGCGATACCATTTCTATAGACTTGATAATGTTTGTTTTGCCAATGCCCGATGGGGTTTGTAAAATTGTAGCTACTTGGTTTTGGAAATGCATATGAATGATAATGGAGACATGGCTCACTGGTGCTTTTTTTTT